CGATTGGCATGGCATTGTCTGACTAACCGATTGAATGCCTGACAGAAATACTTTGAGTTCATGAAAAGTTAGTAAGTGTTGTTGACTTGTTGGCTAAAAATAATGGAAGGAGGGGGGGGAGCATGTTCTGTCGAAGTGTGTTAAGCTGCATGGAACAGGAAAATCGAAAGAGATTTTTTCCAGGCATTTAGTACAGGCTGGGACCTTCTAAATTTACGTTCTTATTCTGGGATAATCGAGTAAGCGAAATTGCATTTTCATTGCAACCGTCCAAGTCACATATTTATATTAAGTATACTACTCAGTATAAATACTACTAAGTAAGTAAGTAGTAAGTCAACTAATTTACATTAATCAGGCGTCCGAGTCTTTTAATTGTGCAGAAAATAACTTGCATCACGTTTGCTTACTTTACAGTTTTACACGCGTTCTTTGATTTAAAAAAGGCCTGTCTTGGAAGACAAGATTTGTATCAAATGAAAATTGCTTTGAGTCACCTTCCAGACAAGTCATGAGTATTTTCCGCTTCAAACCGCCGACATGTAACATTCCCAAATCCATCCTGGTCGCCCTGACAACACGACCAAGTTGAAGAAACGAGGTTAATCCACTTTTCGTACAGATATTGTCAAGTAAGCAAAAATTTATTTTCCAATAGTATAGACAAAGTTACTTAATATCGATATAAGTAGTTCGTCTAAACTTCTATTTATGCATAAAATAACAATTCCACTAGATACATGTGAGGAGGAAGGAGCCTGACTTAAGAGTCAAGGTATTGTCTTGAAGGTCAGTCTGCCCTGTGACCCACGTTCAATGGTAACATATGGAAAATATATTTTGCTTTCGAAGGTATGAAGACCAAGATGGCGTGGCCTTTTGTGTGGTCGCAGTCTCCTTTCGTTGTAGAGAAGTTGTTTGACCTTGTTTTCGCAACTTGGTCATGTTGGTAGGAAGACTTAAAAGAACGCAGCTTGTTCTGACTCCATTGTATGCATCATCGTTTCCAGAGTAGGACCGTGGACGTCGGCATCGGCAATGAGTCTCGCCATTCTTAGCATCATTCAACAACTCGTCTCTTGTCTCTTTGACGAGTTGTTGAATGATGCTAAGAATGGCGAGACTCACTGACAATGCTGACTTTGATGCTGGCGAAACGTCCGGGAATGTACCACATCCACGGTCCTACTCTGGAAATGATGAAATGGAGTCCGGACAAGATGCCTTCCTCTAAGTCTTCCTACCAATTGGACCAAGTTGCGAAAACAAGGTCAAAGAACTTCTATATTTTGCTTTGTCTGAGTCGAAAGTGCCGTCCAGCTCATTCTGGAGGAGATGGATTTTTGCGAGACAAGAAGGAGTCTGAGACATTTGATTGAATGAGATTTTTTTCATTAGCTCATTACTTCACCACCTTCAGCAGACTAAGACGACTACCATTTTTACAATCTCTACAGACAACCGCGAAAGCCTACAGTTTACGAATTCGTCATAATGCAGACTTGTCGAGCCGAATGGGAATTTGACGGTACTCTAAGCTACGGTTGCGATACGGTTGCGATGCTGGCGTGAAGAAGAGGCAGACTCGTGAGCCGGTTCAGGCAGACTTGAGCTGCATATGCATCTGCGGATGTCCTTTCCACGATGAAATGAAGCTACCTTTTATGGTCTGAGCACTTCGGATGTCAACACGAATTGGATACTGACGACAAGGGTTGAAGCAGTAACGAGGTGTATCGTGGTTATGCTATCAAATTGCATGCAAGTGCCATCTCCGTGACGCATGACAAGATCAATCGGACATTCAACTCGGAATAGGAACTGAATTCACTCAAGGTTGTCAAAACGAAGGAAAATTGATAGATTTACTTTTAGCACAATAACTGTGACTAGGCCTGGAATGAGAACTTAGTCAGCTGAGGACGTTTAAGGTGATTTAGGCCGTGATAGTTGAGTCTTTATGCAATCATATCGTGAAGCCTTCTTATCAGCTTGTTGGAAAAACTTACTTTTATATCCTCAACTCACCTAAAATGGGGTCAGCTGATTAATTTCTTATTCAAGAATCGTTTATAATTTAGTAAACTACTCATACGAAAAATAAGTAGTGTCTTCGATTGCAAGGGCAGATAAGTATTTTCTCAACATTTTGGAGACGTCTGGTTTTCCTTGAATGCCACATATGCCCTATGATCGACTAACTGATCGTCTTGGCCTTGTGGAGGATAGCCAACATAATTGCTGGTATATTCACTATTTGGGCTCGAGTCCTGTTGTGAGTGTTATAAAAATTGTAGTCCAAATCAAATGGGATAAGATAGCCAAGTGGGAAATTCAATGACATTTTAAGGTATGCTCATTTTACAATAGCGAACACTCAAGTATGAAAAATGAGATAATCTTAATAGTCTTAGTCTGAACAAGTTCATAAACAAGAATTACAGAAAGCTTTGACAACTACTTATATCGCAAATAAGTAACGCTGTCGATTGCAATGGCAAGGACAATGTAACTTGACTATTCGTTCAAATGAAGAATGTGCCTCAGGCCGGATTTAATTCCGTGAAGCAAAGGCTCTTGCTGTGGGCGAAACAGCCATTGACCCAATGACCCTTAACTTTGGTTTACTCATGCTAAGCTTTCGCTTCTACTGCCGTCACATGCGTTGTCAATATATGAAAACACTCCGTTTATGAAAAAAAACTCACCAACAGAGATTAAGCTTGGTACATTTGTGAGATTCTTCGTAAAGTATGCTTTTCGACTTGAAGATCTCACGTATGGCGGTACATGCGAAAGGATTGCATGAGCTCATCGGCCGAGGACCGTTTCGTACAAATCAACTGTCTTCACTTTACTGCAGTTATTCCTTCTTAAATCTCCGCTGACACCAATTCATAGATTCCTTTCAACCACATGTACCATCGAAACGAAAGGTCAAGTCGCCACATCAGAATGAGAGAATCCTTAGACCCGGATGTTGGGGGAAGAATATGTTTTTTATATAATTAAGTTTTGATATCACCAGTAGATTGTATGTATGAGATATATTCAGCCTATTTCGTTAATATGATTTAAGATTAACAGTTGAATAATTACACAATTTGATGAGCAGGCTTCACGTTTCTATCGCATTTCACATTTCCTTCATTCTAAAAAAGTAATCTTATTTTTAACTGATAGTCTCCCATTCTACTTATGAGCCGAATAAGTATAGAAGTCGATTGTTATGGCAAATAAAACTTTTCTTAATCGACAATCCGACCATCTAAAGTGTTATTAGAAAGGGCTTGCCTCCCATTAAATTCACGCCTACTATGCGACTCAAGGAGAGTTTCTGCGGTCTGGCATAATGGATGACGTTTCGGGATTATACGATGCATCATCGTGAGCCGGATTCGAGTCCCGCAAAGGATGTCGATGAGACCGATTCAGGCGAGTTTACATGTTCAGTTCAGTCCAGCTGGAATGAGATGCATTATGAGGCCTGGCTGTTGGCTTGTGGATAAAATGATTTTGACTACTCAAATCACCTTCAGCGACCTCTGCTGACTAAAGTTCGTATCGAAGATCTATTCAAGAGCAAAGATAGGCTGAAATGGTCAGATTTCGTCAGACATGAAGAGTCAATATAAAGTAGGTCTTCTAGACCACCAGCAAGTCATACAAATCAATTGTGTTCACCCTATTTCGTGTAAGGTTATGAAGGAGGGGTATGTGATTTTTGCTGATGTTTTCCATTAAATTTCACTTGGCCTTGCTTTCCCAAAAAGTGTTCGCGTCCAGGCAGGAGTTGACTGCACTTTCGACCTCGATTCGGTCTTATCAACAGCCCCCAGTCAAAAAGATTGTTCGTCTCTCTGCTGCATGCTAGACGTGCTGATAACTAAAAAGAAAAATATATTGTCATAGATGGATATAGAATGAAGGTTCCTCTTCAGGAAACTTGTACTTGGATGTGTTTGCGTGCGTCTGTGTGTCAACAACTCTACTCGTGTATTTGAGGGTATGCAAAACTGGCCCGTGTCATAATGGCCTGATGAACCAAAGAAAAGCATTGTCGAGATCGCGCAAACCCGAAGGAAGAGGAGGAGGAAAAGAAGAAGAAGAAGAAGGATG